CAGACAGACAGACAGACAGACAGACAGACAGACAGACAGACAGACAGACAGACAGACAGACAGACAGACCGACAGACCGACAGACTGACAGACAGAGACACAGATTTATAGACCTGGAGATGATCAATTGGTAGATATAGATGAATTAATAAATAAGTAAATAAATGAATAAATAAATAAATAATTAGATACATAGGTACATAGAACAGAAGGATAAATAAATAAACATATGTATAAACATTCAGACATACAGCCAGTTGCTCAAACATGTAAGCATGCAGATGAGCAAACAGACAATCGAGATGGCACAGAAACATCAAGCAGGTATACATAAAATATGATGAAGATGGGCAATAAGGGAATGATGAATAAAAAGAATTAGAAGAACAAAACACAAAGTACTGAGGTATGCCCACTAAACGTATTACATAGTGGACCCAGGAAAAGTACCAGGGCAGGAATGAGGAAAGTATTAACGAAAGGTGCGGGAGCCTGCCGAATTTGTTACCAGAATTTTCGAGATCTCAACGAAACCGACCGATTAGTTTTCAGAGATCAAATTCATGTTTATTTAGCTTTCTGCTCCATTCGTGAAAGTTCAAATCTTAGAAACAAAGATCGCTGATTAAGGCAAATAGGATGACATGGCAGCTATGCAAATAAAACCCCTAAAAGTCAGTAGTCCTTGTTTCATCGATGATCTCCGATCATAAAAGAATTAGCTCATTCCAATCCTGGTACCCAGCTTGGAAGAAAAATCGAAGTAATTGGTTATAGCGATCGATGGACTTTTCAATTAACTTCATTATTTACTGTTTTTTGAGATGTTTTGTTTTATTATTTACTTATTTTTTGTTTATTTTATTTATTTTTCACCGGTTGAAAGAACATGAGGGTGAAAAACTTGACCTTAAGACAGAGTCCTTCCTTTTCCCCTCCTCTCGACTTCCCGAACCCTGGATTCCGATTCTTTGAACCTTTGAAAGCTCAGAAACGCAGGTAACCCATCACATAAGTGTAATGTGAATCCAAAAAAGGGAAACAAGTATATACGGGTCCCGAGAGTCGAGGGAACCCACTTCACGTGATCAAATTCACCCACACTTTTTAAATCAAAGTGGTGTTTGGAGTAAACCTCTCGAAGCGGACACTCAAACAGAGAACTTTCCCAGTTTCCCTTGCAATACATTCCAGGGTCATGAAAGATCTTCTGTGAAAATGGCAAGGAAACAAACAAAGCTTTCATTTCAGAATTAATGTAATCATCAGACAGGAATAAACGGGCAAAACCAGAAGAAATGGTCCTTTACTGTATAGCAGCGGTAGGACACTGACGTCTGATGCTACAATCAAAGCCAACTTTATTAATAATCCTATTGATTCATCAAAACGGCAGGCCAGAAGTTGGCATAATCGTAAAATAATCCGTAATACTACCTCTTCCTGTAAGATTTCACAAAAAGTATGACTTGCAGCAAGCTCAAACTCGCTATCGATACTGGAAGCACACACCGGAAACGCAAAGAGGCTGCGAACTTCGGCAAAATTCTTGGTTACACCTCGGAAAGACAGGCGGAGGTGTTAATAGTGGTGACGGGTGCACGTTATCACAGGTATAGTCAGGGATCAAATCGCGGAACAATATGTGCCCAGACCAACCACCACAACCTCCCATCATTTGGGGCCGCTCAAGTGTTATCAGACTCGTCTTGGAGGATTAAAGCACTGACTTGTAATCGCTTGGCCATCGCAATTCATAGTATAGGCCACATACGCTTCAAATCGCCACTACGATTCTGAATGGAAGTCGAAAGCCGGGGTTCGAGACGTGAAAGTAACGCCTCACTCCAGAACGGGACCCTAGGTTCCGTTTGGAGTAAGACGTACTGTGGTGGAAGAAAAGCTTTGTGGACCCAAGCTCAACCCAGTCCGAACCAGATCGTATTGGACTTTACCAGCCATCGCTCTATTACAATCTCAAGTCTTCAATTGGATACCTACTTGTCGTAAAAGGCACTGAGGTCAATGGAAATCTTCACTGAACCCACCCACTACACCAGCAAAACCTTTGCTTTACTTTTACAAGCTCAACAAGCAAATTACAAGTCGAAGTATACAGTATAGTAATTTAGATCCAGTTTCTTTTCAGATCATGGCTCCCAAACCGTTTGAACTTTGTGCACAGCAGATAACATCATGGTTCTGTCCTTCTATCCTTTAATAGAAGGACAAAGGATTTCGGCGTTGATCAATCCTGTGGGATACACCGCTGCACTCGACTTACATTCAGAATCGTAGTAGCGATTTGAATGTGTGTGTGACCTTCACAACAAGTCAGTGTTTGTATCCTCCTAGACGGGTCTCATACCTATTACCAAACTGTCTGGGAGGATAAAACTTGAGGGATAGAAGGCTAAGTTGGCCCAGGTGGGGAGTGGGGTCCCGGAATTCGAACCCTTGGCCATGCATGTGTGCTAGTGCGCCACTTGCTACTACCCTACTTCCGCCTTATGATAGTTATTCGGAGTAATTCAAAAATAACAAAACTATCGAGAGTACCTTGTACTTGACAAACGCATCCTTCAATGCAGTAATGATCTCTCGTTCTTTTTCCTCTTCATTGAATGCCTTTGTGCTATTGACTTTGACAACAGCAACAACTACTTCACCGAGATCCTTATGAGGTACGCCTGGAATGGCTCGGTTCTTTGCGATGAACACAAGGAATAAAAGTGATAATGAAAAATATGCACCAATAATCGCCGATTCGCCGACATCCGGGAATCTATCGATACAATCCTCGATTTCCTTTGCATAGACGTTATAACCGCCAGTGATGATAAGGTCTTTACCGCGACCAAGTATGTGAAGAAAACCTGAATCATACTATTCCCATTGGTTTCTCTTACAGTTATAAATAAACTTTTACCAAATTCTACAAAAATTCTAATGGACAAAACCGTGAAGCCAACCAATCCATTTATTTTTTTTTTTGGAATGATTGACAGCAGATTGACAGCACATTTGCATGGATGAAAAAAAAAGAATATGGTCTATCAGTAAATACTGATCAACTCCTTAAAATATTTTATGCAGGTCTGATGCGTGGCGCAGCAATATGTAGCCACTCGGATTATTGGATTTTGACTTTTTTAAGGGTTGTACGACCGAAAAAATTTCACTTTGGAGCTCAGAATTTGCTCAGTCTGGAGTTTAGACTAGTTCCAGACTTCACAAATTATATTTGTATATTTGTAAAACATATAACCTCTAAAAAGTGAATTTTGCAAGTCATCAATCAGACAGGTTGATTCTGCACTTGCCTTTAGGTGCACTAATGGACATTGGTAACGCCGCAAAAAGTAATGCTGGATAAAAACCGAATTATCTAGCGTATTCAAGTCGAAGGCTGATAACTGATCGAGCTGAAGGCACTGTGAGGGCCCTTAGTGTTTGCCGATTATCAGTAACCCTACCCCTGCCCCTCTTAAACACATTAAAGGGGGGGGGGGGGGNTCGAACCAATAGCGAGCCTAGCACTTCTCTCATTGGTTGGGCCATCTTGCAGTTCGATAACCATCCAATGAGGGACTTGCAGCGAGCTCACTGCACCACCTATTTGCAGTGAGCGCGCTCACAACCTCCCGAGCACCACTGTGCCACTTCAGCCGGTACCTTGATACACCTATACTGCTTAGAATTCTACAGGTGAGCACTTGCTACAGAACTTCGACTGCAAACGTAGCACCTACATTTTTCTACAGCGAAGCCCATCACTCAGAAAAACGAAAAGCTTACCATCGTCGTCGACAGCACCGAGATCACCAGTTATAAAGTACTTATCATCGGTGAATTCCTGTGCAGTCTTCGTCGGGTTTTTCCAATAACCCGCGAAGAGCGATGAACCCTTGATTTCGACTCCACCATTTTTATTTATCCGGAGCTTGAAAAGAAAAAAATACTCTCGTTGTAAAAGCAAGTAATCAGGTAAGAATCAATCAGACCTTGGTGTCTCCTACTGGCTTTCCAACACTTCCAGGTCGACGATCGTTGTATGGATGTGAGCAGATGACTTGGGCTAAATGAAAAGTATGAAGTGGTAGGAAAGTATCAGTTACGTGGCTTTTGGGTGACATAAATTTTTAGAAATTATTCACGTTTGCAGCTGCCTCCTTTTTGCGCCTCATTCTGGGCTGGGTTCGAACCCGCACGGAAGTTCCTGGTTAGCGCGCTTCACAACTACGCGCTTCCCAACTGAACCAAAACCGTTGGTTTTCTTTGCTTGAACTCGAACGAGGTAGATAAGAAAACAACTTTATTCCGGCTAACGTTTCGGCGCGGATCGCCTTCTTCAGAGCCTGGAACAATCAAGCAATTCATGATTACCCGGCCAA